TAAAAGCACTGCGATCAACCTAACTCACAAACTCACTGCCGCCAGGTCAGTGCTGACTCAGAGCCACCCCGTGGGTCACCGAGGCTGTGACTGGTGGCAAGAACAGAAAGCGCCATCTTTCTCCCGAGGAGCTGCAAGTGGTTTCCAACTGCCGACCCTGCGGATCGCGGACCAGCACAGAAACACTACACTGCCAGGGCTCCTTAGTGCCGTTTGTAGTGTCCAATAAAGGAGAGTTAAAATGCCATAGGGCTGCAGGAGCCTTATTAAGCCTGTCACCTGGACAACGGTACTCTATTTAAGCCGAGAATACAAGATGCTCCTGAGAATTCACCAATTAAAATGATCAAAACTATTAAAGGTTTGAAACAACACTGGATCTGAGCTACAGGCTCTATGCTCTTCGACACTGCACTCTTCTCTCGACTTGAGATTTCCGTGGGTCATTCCATGCCTTCCTTCCCATTCAGTCACCACTATTTACTAAGCACCTACAATGTGCCAGACACAGCCAGTAACCCCACAGCCAAATGATGAGCTAACCCTGACCATCACCATCCTATCTTGCCTACATTCAGTCATTCTGTTTCAGGGGAAAGTTGCAAACCAGTTGTTTTAAGGTTTTGGGTTTTTTTTTAAGAAGTTAATGAGTAGAAGGTCAATTATTTTAAATTAGATAAGTGCATGAAATGAAACAGAAAAGGATGCCATTTGCACATAAAATAATAAAAATAAAGCATGTTTTTCTGAACCCGGAGCCACAGTGGCATTGTGGTTAGACGTTGGGCTGCTAACGGCATGGTCGGCAGTTCAAAACCACCAGATGCTTCAAGAGAGAAAGATGAGGCTTCCTACTCCCATAAAAAGTTACAGTGCCCGGAAGCCAAAGGAGCAGCCCCATCCTGGTCTACAAGGTCGCGGTGTGTCGGAACCGACTCAGTGGCCATGCGCTTTTGGAACCTGAAGCACAAAGGGACCGGCGGCTGCATGGGGAGGGCCCCTCAAGCACAGAAGGGCTTTATCGCTGAGACCTGCACACAGTCTTTTCTGTTCTGTGCAACGCTGCAGTGGTTGGGGGGCGGGGGGGAGGGCGTGTAAAAAAAGCAAACAGGCCAGATTTTAAAGTCCCCTAAGAGTGAGGAACTTTAATTAAAGTCTCCACAGGCTCACAACTTGGTGGTGCCTGGGGATTTTTCAATTCTGCAGTATCAACCAATCCAAACAGAAAGGGAGCAAGTGAAAGAAATTGATTTAAAAACATGACTAAAAGTCAGATTAATATAAACATCATAAATATAATATGAAGAAAGCTGGCGGACGGCCAGCTGGCTTAGCAATGAGTCCAGTGCGGTCAAGGTTGTGGGCAAGTGAGGATGACCTGGGCCCACTTGGAGCACACAGCACAGCTGCATGCAGCTGTCCCACAGGCTGAACGGGAGGATTTAGGAGAAAGATCGGGGTTTGGGGGGTGGAGGCTGGTAGGGGAGTGGAGTGGAACACAAATGATCCAGTAGGCTTTTGTGTTCTTTTCCTTGGATTTCCAAGCCAGTTGACATCATGTCATCCCTCACCCAGGGTCACCCCATGCTGTAGGAGGAGAACTAGGCTCCATGTGGTGGCTTTTTAAGAATAGCCAGGCCTTTCTTCCACTCAAACCATCAAACTTTCCGTTAACAGCCAAGTGTGTTAACCATTTACATGGCCAGGAACTCCAAGTCATGTGCTTATCTCCCTTGCTAATATCCCTGGTCTAAAAGCAAACAGGCTGTGAGCAACTGGAATGCATAAACATCGCACAGGCTGTGTGATCTGATGAAAGGAAAAGTCCCTGTTCGGGCAGAGGCCAACCCCCAGAGCGACCTTCTCTGTGACTGTCGCTGAAGCGCAGGGCTCAATGCTGCCCCTACAGGCTGCCCAGCTCACCTGAGGACTGCACTCAGCACTGGGACCCCCGCACGACTTTTGTTCGCAGAGTCTTTGCAGCAACTGTCACCCCAAAAGCCCCGTGGTCCTTAGCTGCCATGTCTGAGCTGCTTACTCATGGCACCCCAGTGAACACTGGCATACAACTCTGCCGAGATCGGTGGTGGAGCAGCCTCGTGCAACCCACAGGGTTTTCATGAACTGGTAGTTAGAAATAGATCACCAGGCCTTTCTTCCTAGTCCTCCTTAGCTTGGAAGCTGCCGTGAAACTTGTTCAGTGCCACACAAGCCTCCACTGACAGATGCAGGGGGCTGTGCTTGAGGGGAACTGGCTGGAAGTCCGACCTGGGTTTCCAGCCCAGAAGGTGAGAATTCTGCCCCCACACTTTGTCTACAGGACACAGGGCTCTGGGATTTCTAAGAGCTGTCTCAATAGTCCCCACAGAACCGCTGTAAGGAAGGTGCTATTCTTCTCCCACGAGGAGATTCATGATCATGCCAATGGTCGTGTGACTTTGAGAGTCCAAAGCCACACTCTGGACCCGTAGACTGCACTGCCTCCATTCCAGACTGTCCACACGACCCCCACCTCACTGCCCCGTGCTCCCTCAGCTGAAGTCATCATTGTCTTGGATTGGCAAGGTCAGGGATGAAGCAAAAGGTTGGAGGTTCAAGTCTATTCCACAGGCCTGGTGATTGATCAACTTGCCCCCAAAAAACCCAGAGACTCCTCTTTGCCAGTGAGGAATTCCCCATCCCTTAGTCTGTTCAGCAGGACATCTCACTGGTACACTAACTACGGCTCCTCCCAGGTACTCCCACTGAGCCCTGGGACACAGGACGAGCTGGGGCTCAGTCGGGGGTTCTGTGTTTCCAGCAGGAAGAGAGGGGCACTCTGACAGGCAGTAGGAGAGAAGCAAGGGGAGAAAGAAAGAAGGAAAAGCCAAGGAATCAGCCCAGCTCTTCTGATAAAGAAACCAATCAGTGCTTTCAATCCACAGAAGAGCCTAAGCTGCTAACTGATTCCAGTGGCATGCACCTGGGCCCC